AGAACCGAACCCAAAATTGGATAATCCTCTGCTCAATAGAAATTGTTAGTTTCGGAAAAAAAATTTGCAAAAACCACAAAAACACGTTTGATTTTTACTGAACAGCAGATTATTATTCATTTATGTTATTTACAAGAGGTTTTCAAAATGTCTGCCTCTAACAGAAATGCACAGTGTACACCTACGTATGAAATTTTGTTTTAAATCTCTAAATGCTTGTGTGTTGTTTTTCAACACATGTGTCGCTTCTTGAATTTTGTTCCTCAATGAATTTTCATTTGCACATTCTTGGGCGAATGTTATGTCTTTAAAATATCCCCAAACAAAAAAATCAATGGGGTTGAGGTCAGGGGAGCGTGGAGGCCATCGTATCGGTCCGTTTCGTCCGATCCATCTGTCTGGGAACCTTTCGTTTAAGTAGTTTCGCACGATCGTTGCGTTGTGGCATGGTGCACCATCATTCTGGAACACCATGTTCCGTCTGGCTTCCAGGCTTGAATCTTCCAGCAATAATGGTAGGCTATTTTCAAGGAAGCTTTTGTAGGCTACCGAATCCAACCTTGACGGCAGTTCAAATGGACCGATAAATTCCATATTGAATATTCCTGACCACATGTTCACACTAAAACGGTGTTGAAATGTCGACGGCCTTGAGTGGTGGGGGTTTTCAACAGCCCAAGTATGTAAATTATGGATATTGAATATCCCTGTTCTTTCAAAACGTGACTCGTCAGTCCATAAAATTTTATCAAAAAATCGGGATCCTCTCGTTGTCTTCGCAGCATTGTCTCGCAGAAATCCACTCTTAACTGGTAATCTGAAGGCATCAACGCTTGAACTCTTTGAACATGATAGGCATGATAACCTTCTTCATGAAGAATATTTTGTATCGATGTTCGTGGTATTCTAAGGTTTTGTGCCATAGATCTCGTACTCGTTGAGGGATTCCGGCTAATTTCTTCAAGTACTACTTCTCTGCGATCCGGATCAGCTGTAGGATATCCTTCATTGCTTCCTCGTCCTGGAATGCGGCCTGCCATGAAAGTGTTATGTGTGTTAATAAAAACACGGTGGTCTGGGTAATGCTCAGCTGTACCGGGAACAACTTATACGCCGAGGCGGACCACAACCTGAGCATTACCCAGACCACCGTGTTTTTATTAACACACATAACACTTTCATGGCAGGCCGCATTCCAGGACGAGGAAGCAATGAAGGATATCCTACAGCTGATCCGGATCGCAGAGAAGTAGTACTTGAAGAAATTAGCCGGAATCCCTCAACGAGTACGAGATCTATGGCACAAAACCTTAGAATACCACGAACATCGATACAAAATATTCTTCATGAAGAAGGTTATCATGCCTATCATGTTCAAAGAGTTCAAGCGTTGATGCCTTCAGATTACCAGTTAAGAGTGGATTTCTGCGAGACAATGCTGCGAAGACAACGAGAGGATCCCGATTTTTTGATAAAATTTTATGGACTGACGAGTCACGTTTTGAAAGAACAGGGATATTCAATATCCATAATTTACATACTTGGGCTGTTGAAAACCCCCACCACTCAAGGCCGTCGACATTTCAACACCGTTTTAGTGTGAACATGTGGTCAGGAATATTCAATATGGAATTTATCGGTCCATTTGAACTGCCGTCAAGGTTGGATTCGGTAGCCTACAAAAGCTTCCTTGAAAATAGCCTACCATTATTGCTGGAAGATTCAAGCCTGGAAGCCAGACGGAACATGGTGTTCCAGAATGATGGTGCACCATGCCACAACGCAACGATCGTGCGAAACTACTTAAACGAAAGGTTCCCAGACAGATGGATCGGACGAAACGGACCGATACGATGGCCTCCACGCTCCCCTGACCTCAACCCCATTGATTTTTTTGTTTGGGGATATTTTAAAGACATAACATTCGCCCAAGAATGTGCAAATGAAAATTCATTGAGGAACAAAATTCAAGAAGCGACACATGTGTTGAAAAACAACACACAAGCATTTAGAGATTTAAAACAAAATTTCATACGTAGGTGTACACTGTGCATTTCTGTTAGAGGCAGACATTTTGAAAACCTCTTGTAAATAACATAAATGAATAATAATCTGCTGTTCAGTAAAAATCAAACGTGTTTTTGTGGTTTTTGCAAATTTTTTTTCCGAAACTAACAATTTCTATTGAGCAGAGGGTTATCCAATTTTGGGTTCGGTTGTATTTGAGCCACAATTACGGTAGCATGTAGTAAAGCTAGGTTGATGAAATTTTTACGGTAAATAGCTGATACCGTAAGGAAGTTTTTAAGATACTTACGAATAGTAAGAACATGTTTTTTCAATTTTTTATAAACGTTCAAAGTTGTTGCACTTTTTTACTTTTTTGTTATGTTCGAAGATTTTGAAATAAATTAAAAAGTAGTATTAGTTACATGACTTGAATGATTATATGATAGTTAAGCCTTAGGTCTTAGCTACATAATCGTGAAAAAAGCAGGCATTTATCACAATTATTAACGAAGTTATGGTAAAAATAAACACAGAACTCAAAAATTCTCGAAAAATCCGAAAAAAAATCATAACTCCTAAACTAAACAAAATCGGACCATATATATGGGGGTGATTTGGGTTCCTCTCGATGTGGGGAATCTAATTTTTTTTTATGACGTCACGTGTTTGGTCACCCTGTATATATATATGTATATATATATATATCATAATCAGTGATCCTCAACAAGTCGCAAATATCCTTAGGGACTATTTTGCAAAAACTGCTGAGAATACGCTACTATCCACGATACTCTAGAGAGCCATTGCTCTATACAAAACAATCTAACATCATTGTTCTTTAACGATATTGTTCCATCAGAGTTACTATCAGTTCTGAATTTTTTAAATCAAACCATCGGGCGGCACAGATGTCATAAAATTTAAGACGATAAAGTTTGTGGCTGACTCTCTGATATATCGCCTATGTTATATATTTAACCTCTCTAGCAGTACAGGGACATTTCCGGATATCTTGAAGCTAGCAACCATCATTCCTGTTTATAAAAAGGGAGATCGAGAGTTACTCGATAATTATCGGACAATTACGCTAGTTTATCGTTTTTCTAAATTCTTTGAAGCAATTGTCCACCACAGCTAAACAACTTCATCAACGAACACTAGACTTAGGTCTAGACTATCCACAAATACAGCTGCCTTCACACTTTTAAGCTATATCTGTGAGTCTGTAGATAGCGGGCGATATACCCTGTCTCTCTTCTTCGACCTAAGTTGAGCCTTTGATTGTATTGATAAATGATATGAGTGGTAGCTTGGTTAGTGGGGACGTCATAGTAGTACAATTGAAAAGTCACCCGAAAAACTCGAAGATAAGGCAAACATTATTTGTATAAAATTTTGAGAATGGATTGTGGAAAAGAAGTTGATAGTAAATACATCCTAAACAAAGTATATAGTTTTCTATAAACGGCGAACTGTACATGCTCTGACGCTCACGCTGTACAGTACTACCATAGACAACGCGGAAAGCCATACATTTCTGGGACTCTACATGGACGAAACACTTTCATAGGAAACGCACATAGAGTATGTGGCTAGTAAGCTTAACTCGGCATACTTTTCATTAAGAAACCTACGGGTACTAGTTGATCGTGTCTCCTAGATACTTATTTTGCAATTGCTTACTGTCATATGAGATACTTGTTTATAAATTGGGGCATTTCTTGTGGCATACAGAGAGTATTCATCCTGCAAAAGAGGCTGATTAGATTAGTCTTTGGTCTCAATCCACTGGACAGCTCTAGACCAGTATTCAAAGATAGAATGTTAGCATTACCATCAATACAGATCTACGAGTCATGCTTATTTGTTATAGAAAACACAAATTTATCCCCCCAGCGCAGTGAAATACACGCCTACAATACTAGATATAATATCCATTTTCATATTAAAAATTTTAATCTTGGTGCTTATAAAAATAATAATAATCTGGCTTTATTTATACAAAGTATAAAAAAGCGAAGTGTTGCTAAAAAACCGCTTTTCAACTTACCCCAACAAATATTTATGTAAATTTTCTAATCTCAATGAAATCAAAACAAAAAAGAAACCTGTAACGAGTCCCTGTTCATGGCCATGGTCTACTCACTAGGCGATAAAATCAGAGATAAAATGCTTCAATCTTTTTTTGAAATTCTTTATAGAGTAGTGAGTGAACTCGGTAGGCAACGCGTTGTAAAGCTTAATAGCAGTATATATTTACGATCTTTTAAATAGAGATATTGAATGACTCGGGTTAACAAAGAGATGCTATCATTTGTATTCAGTTGATTAATATCTGAGTATCTGACAAATTTGGTTGACAGGTGTGGAGGGACTTGTGTTGTGATTACCTTATAGGCCAAGGTCAATACGTGCATTCTTGTAGCTCTTCTATTTTTTCAACATCCAGCTTACGATATTTTTGTGATTCTGTCTCAAATTTTCTCACTCCATAAGCAAATCTGAGACTCGAGTTTTGAATAGTCTGAAGTCTCCGTTTCGCAATCTCAAGAGTCCGATATATTTATGTCGTGCCATGTATAATAAATTGTCTTTAGATATGAAGCAGATTACCAGCTTATCTTTTTTTAAAAGTAAAATTTACATTTTACTAAATAAGGCATTGTATAGTACAAATGAATTTTTGTACCAGTAACTCGTTATTCTTATATATGTTTCTGTATCCCAATTTTTACATGTCATGCATTAGTTATGCACATCTTTGATTTCTTTCTTTTGGCGTTTTGTATTCTATCAAATATGACAGTGATAAGGTGAAAACTGATGTAGAGCTTACAAAGGTACCCTAGAGCTACTGCTATGCATAAAATCGCTGCAAAATATGATTAACGTTAACGTTTACATAGACCATAACGTGATTACCGTATTTCAAACAATTTCAATAGGCGGATATACCAGAAATCTACATGTAGGGTTTGTTTCTGTTACAGCAAACGTCTTGGTACGAAAAATAAAAGAAGAAAGAAATTATTAATTCATAAGTGTTCAGTATGTGATTACAAAACAAATCTAATGGGACATTATACCAGACATTTTAAGAGCCACTATCCAGATATATTATGCCCTGGATGCGATAAAAAATTTAGAAGTAAAGGCGTGTTAGATGAACACGTTATTCGTCAGCATGGTGATGATGACAAATTGGTTAAGACTATAACTAGCAGGTTACATTGTTGCAATTATTGTGATTTCAATACTGTACTACCTAGTTCTATTCAAAAACATATTGTAAAAGTTAATAGCAAGTCTAAGAAACCGGTGCGTACATATGAGTGCGATACATGTACATATAAGACACACTGCGAACTTAGTTATCGAAAGCATGTTGGACGCCATTTAAACGACACTTTGACTAAGCGTACGTCAAATCATGTCAAAGGAAACGTAAAAACTCCAATTTATAAATGTTCAGTATGCGATTACAAAACAAATGTTTTCAAATATTACGCCAAACACTTTAAGATTCACGATCCAGATAGGCGTTGGAAGAAACAGGTTTTATTATGCCCTAGATGCGATAAAAAATTTGTACGTAAAATTGTGTTAGATGAACACGTTATTCGTTTTCATAGGGATGATGAAAAATTGGCAAAGACTATAACTTACAGGTTGCATTATTGCAATTATTGCGATTTTAAGACTGTAATACCTCAATTGATTCAAAATCATATTCAAAAAATTAATAGCAAGTCTGAGAAACCCGTGCTTACATATGAGTGCGATACATGTACATATAAGACGCACTGCGAAGTTATGCATCGAAACCATCTTGGACGCCATTTAAAACATACGTCAAATCATGTCAAAGGAAACGTAGAAACTTCAACTTATGAAAGTTTAGTATGTGATTACAAAACAAATTTAATGGGAAATTATACCGGATACTTTAGGAGGCACGATCCAGATGGGACTGTGAAGAAACAGGTTTTATTATGCCCTAGATGCGATAAAAAATTTGGAAATAAAAACGGGTTAGATGAACACGTTCTTCGTCATCATGGGGATGATGGAAAATTGGCAAAGATTATAACTTGCAGGTTACATCATTGCAATTATTGTGATTTCAAGACTGTAAGACATAGATCTATTCGAAAACATATTAAAAAAGTTAACAGCAAGTCTAAGAAGCCCGTGCGTACATATGAGTGCGATACATGTACATATAAGACGCACTGGGAACTTGATTATCGAAGGCATGCTGGACACCATTCTAAAAATAAACGTTTTCCTTGCAGTGAATGTGGAAAAGATTTCACTGCCAAAATTAATATTGATGAACATATTCTTCATTGTCATAGTGACAATGCTCAACTGATGGAAACTATAACTTCTAAGATGTTATACTGCGAGTATTGCAATTATAGAACTACAAGGCGTGGCGTTTTAAAAACGCATCTGAAAAGCCACTGACGCAAGTTTGTGACAAAGTTCTTGTTTGCTCTGAACACATTAAGGTAAACGTACCAGTAGATCACACTTTAAGGATGTCATTTAGGGAGAAAGATGTATTGCATTTTTAAACACTAATAGCCAAATTTGCAAAATGGGAAACAAATACATACACATTTAGCTAATGAGTGACTATTTCGAAAGTGGCTTAATTTATTGCTTTCTCGTTAAGAATTTTTGTTTTCTTTTTATATGTTTATGCATCTGTACCTAACACAGTACCACCTGTAGCTGACATGTCAAATGTCCCAGTAGGTGACACTTTAAAGGAAAGCACCTATAGGTGATAGGGATTTAAATTTGTTAGTATGTATCTACTTTAACATAGTTTAATAGATTTAAAATTAATTTAAAAATGTTTTAATAAAAGAAGTTACAAAACAAAATAACTGAACTCATAAAATGACGCCACAAAAATATTGCTTTTCGTGGAGATTTGAGATATGTAACTTGAAAGCGTAGTTCAACCTTCCCCAATTGCAACAACGTCTGGATTTTCCAAAATACCAATTGTTTAAAATAAATGGAGGAGATGTCACTTTCATTGGCAACAAATGTCAATTTACTAGTGCCTATACAATTTAAAGAAATAACACTATTCAACGTCTTGATCAACGATTTCTTGAACAATGCATACATAAGTATATTTCTGAGTATTTCGCTTAAGCCCCATAAAAACAATTAAACATAATCTCCATTTTTTAATTAATCAACTTCATTAGTTGATTTAATTCTTTCCATTTCTGCAACATTCTCGTCTTCTGTATTCCAAATCGACTCATCAGACTCTGTGTATTCATCGTCTTCGCTAGACTCTTCTGATTCCTGTTTTTTAGTTTCTTCTTTTTAATTTCAATGCCTCAAACTTGTTTTTATTTTCTTTATTCCTCTCTTTGTATTTTCCTTTACAACGTTTGCCTTTCTTTCCGTTCTTTCTCCATTGCTTTCTTGCTGTGGTATTCCTGCCATGAATCGAAGATTACTACAGAGGCTGCCTTTTTTTCGCCTCTTCTTTTTACTTCCTTTGTCGTCTTTTTCTTCTGGCCAAAATAAGGCTATTTTTAGTTACATAATAATTAATATGAATGTTAAGAGGTTCTTGTATTTATTGATTATAATTTTCCTTTTGTGGTGTTAAATGAACTACAATATCACCATATGCACTAATTGCACCTTGAAAGGATAGACATTGGATCGAAACAGACCGTGACTTGTCTGGACAGACAGAAAGACAGACTAGTCGTACCTTGACAGCATAGGCGTTGGGTTGGGACAGAAAGAGGCTCTCAAGGAGAATTCAGTTGCAATTTCAGAGATATTCGTAGTCAAGTTTCTTGATATTTCATTCTCCAAATTATTTTGTTTTTTGTTGAAAAAATATTACTTTGCATTGTTTTTTCTTTTTTTTTCACGGGAAAAAGTTAGATGGCCGAATGGTATTTGACAAGACTATTTCATGAGTAACAGATTATTCATACACATAGACTAAGAACAATATTACAAAATTTATTGACAATAAAATCAGAAAAATTGTTTAGGGTCGTTTTCTGTTCGCCTAGGAGACCATAACTGCTTGTTCTCAAAGGTATTATAATTTTTGGTGACAACAGCTGTCAAGTTTTGCAGCAGGTAAACTCGAAAAAACTGCTGACAGGTGCTGTCATACAATTTTGTCATATAGAAACCATTTGTAATTCAAAAATGGGTGTGTGTGATTGGTAGAAATTAAGACGAGGGAAATAGTCATATTGATACTAAAATGCTTGCTAATTAAAATACATAACTACGAGTACTTACCTTTTGCAGATCTCTAATGAGGATCTGAATAATAATAAATTGATTTAAACTTGGCACTAGTGTGACTAACTTTTGACAACACTTTTGAATGACAGATAATGGCGTAATTAAATACGTGTGTGACAGAGGACGTTCAAGGGTTAATTTAAAGCCAATGAAAGTGTAGATCGTAGCAGTTGAATTCTTATTATAATGAATTTTTTAAATCCTTTGTCATCCTTTGAAGCCTGTCAGATACAGCCTTCACGTTAGGTAATTTCTGTAACTTCAGGCGGACCCAAATAGTAGAATAAGGCCACATTTATGGTCGATCCTTGATTGAAGACCGGGTGATCGATTGATTTTCAAGATTTTTGAAATTTTATTATCTTCAGTACTTGCAGAATTTCCAGATTTTCTATCGTCAATTTTAGGGAAGATACATACACTGACAATCAAATTTAATTTATCTGACGGCTTGCGTTCAATGTATACGAGAGAGAAGTGTGACACATATGTTAGAAAGAGATAGAACCCGCCTGGACAGCGAAGCTCATCACCGCGGCAACCTGTCGCATTGCCAATATGTTACACCCGTTCCTTGCGTTAAGATTCTTATTGAAAATATGCATTAATTTATTCTTTACGCCCATATAATGGTGTTATTTTGAGCGCACACATTTTTCAATTATGAATTGTGTAGATGCAGTTTGCACAACCTTCTGCGTCACCGGTGCTAGGCAATGTGGTGATGGCCTTCGCTCTTCAGTCAGCTTCTATCTCTTGCTAGCATGTGTTGGTACATACTTTCTCTCTCGTACACATTGACCTCAAGCCGCCAGACAAATTTGGTTTTCCCTGTATAGTGATAATAAATCGTGGGTTGACTATTATACTGTTCTAATAGTACAAAAGTAGTTATGGAGAAAAACGTAATTAAATATTCACATTTTACTATTTTCACTATTATTACCTACTTTTTTTTGAAATGGTACTCAAGTTGAGAGCTAGGTATCTGGTTAACGCATTTCTTAGGTTATTCATTGAATTTTTTGCTTATAATATTTAAAACAATAAATAAACAAATGGCTGATAGAACAAAAATATTATATTAACATAATCAGATTTACAAAATATGAAAATATTTGTTCTAACAACACAGGAATGATAGAAAACTAAACGATAACTTATTTATTTTTATAAAAAGTAACATTTTATTTCAACATTTTTTATTTTTTGTATCCCCATTATTTGTTTTTTGCCTTTGTGACGTATTTTTTCTTTTTTAAAAATATCAGCATCGTTATATTGTTTAAAAAAAGTTTTTATAAACATTACGTCAACGGGTGGCATAAATTTGAATAGTTTTGTAAGGTCAAGAACTTTCGCAAAAGGCAGAAGGCATTTTACTGGTTCAGAAGCGCTTCGTATTTCGGGCAATAAACTTGAGACATGATTGGTTGTTTTTGTTCTGGTTGTGTTTGATGCCGAGATTGGAACTTTAAAAGGTTTCCTCTGGTTAACCGTTGGTAGAAGGCGTAGCAATCCCAGAGGGCTAAAAATTTCTACTCCGGATAATTTTCTTTCTATCTGGCTGTGCAAATTATCAACTTCTTGGACACTACTATGTCCAGGCTCTCCAAACTTTTGGTCTATTTGCTCAAGTGTAGGATGCTCTTCCAAAAACTTCATTAATGCTAGACTCATTATTGAATTCTTGTTTTGTGGCACGCAGGAATCAGACCACAAAATAATTTTTTTGATAAACGGAAAGTCCACAATAACCATGTTTAATATCTTTATTAGACCTGAAGCGATGTCGCTGCCCTGCCGTCCATGTGTGCCCTCGCTCCAAATATAACAATAGGCTTGCTTTTTTAAACTGCAATGAGCAGTAAGGTTGTAAGTATTTAGTTTCCTACTGTAGAAGAAACATGAC